GTCTTACACTGCTAAATTAGGGACGGTTAGCGCAGATAGCCCTTGTATAGCTTTGCACGAAATTCAAAAACAAAAACAAAAAATACACATTAGCATACTGAAATGTTGCATACCACAAGTGTACAGGACAATATAATGCCTGAATAAACAAATGATTTGAATAACCGAGTATGAAACATATATAATTGACTTTGTTTAAACATTGAAGTTGTGACAGTTGAACGTAAACATTTTTGAACTTTTTAGAAAACAGAAGACTAATAATAAAAGATAGAAAGCTTGGCTGCTTTCTACTACAATATTATTTTCCTTCATAATTACAAGCACATAAAAGTCTTCCAAGCATTTTTTATAAAAATTAGTTTCTTCTATGATATAAAATTTTATTGTCAGCCATTTTGAATGAGTAATGAATTAGTTTTTTGTTTTAATTTCAGCTGTACTGATTGCCAAATAATATAACCAAAGATAATGCAACTTAAGTGCATTTTAATTTGAATTATACAAAAGGAAAAGCTAACAGTGATGAATGGTTATTTAAAAGGGTTGCCAAGTCCACATATTTACCTGATTTGGGTTTTCTCTTTTTACAGTTGCTGGAATTTCGTTTCACTATTGCTTAATGTTAGTCGATTAAGGATTGACTTCTTTTTTGATGTGTTTTGAGAGCCCATAGAACTTGTTTTTATTTTAAAAACTCTGGAAATCCTGCTATTTATGTATGACTAAATTTAGCTTGCCATGATTATATTCTATGTTTAATCCCTAAATCCGAAATTAAACACTTCATTTGTTTCTCCTTTTATGGGCACTCTGCAGATAGGCTGAAATGTTGCTTATTTAATGCTCCTAACAACTATAACCAAAACAGAGCTTTACACTATGTTTAAATCACTGCTAGAATATTTTCTTAGAAATGACTATTGCTTTCTCAGGTGGATCCTGACAAAAAATTACAGAGCACTTAGTAAGGGTCTAAAAGGAAGTGTTGCTGGCTTTGTAAATATCATAATGGAGTTGAAGAAGTGCTGTAACCATGCATCACTAATTAGGCCTCCTGATAACATGGGAAATGCAGACATTTTACAAGTGAGTTTCTAGCTGTAACAATATTTTTGTTATAGAAAGCTACATTATAAATAAAGTGCAACCATATGTAATGTTAGAGAAATAACATTTAATGTCTATCATATAACAGAGATTTAAAAATCTATAATAGTTCTTATGTGTCGGTTTTTGATACCATAGAGAAATTGAAAGTTTGTGAGAGAAAAAAAAAGGAGACATGATCAGTCTATTTATCCATATCTCTCTCTCTCTATACATATATATACAGTGACCCTTTAGTCACAAAACTGGTAGAAAAAATAAAGGTGAGAAGAAATGCTAGAATCTTAATTATTTTAGTGCATTGCTATTTGTATTCATAGGTGTAAATTTGTATGTGTTTTGATTTTGTATATATTTATATATATATATAGGCCTTTTTGTGAAGAGACAACAGAATTTTCATTACATTGAGACTACTTTTTTCATTAATTGTCATCCAGATGTCAATTTTTAATCACTACCCAATAAAGCTATTTGTCACAGTTATTTGCATAAGAAAACATCTAAGTTTTGAAGTCTTTCTTCTTGTCAAGTTCTGAAACTTCACTGCTAAAAAAGGGGGGGAAGTTAGTTAAAAGATGTGTTATCATAACTTTCTTCTACTTGCAGTGTCAGATATGAAACATATCATGATCATTAGTTTTCACTAAAACTCAGTTTTGTAATGGCCTTAGAAAGTAGTTTCCAAGGCTTCTGCATCATTTAGTAAAGCTTTTAGTTTTTTTATGGCTGTAGAAAGTATCATTACATTTTTAAGGAAAAAAAGTTACTTGCACATGATTCATGTGCAGGTAATAGTACTAGATTCAATATTGTATTTCTGTGTTTCGTTAAATGATTCCCATTTTCTTCATATGTAGACCATAGTCCGTGGGAGTGGAAAACTGATCCTGCTAGACAAACTATTGTGTCGTCTAAAAGAGACAGGTCACCGTGTCTTGATCTTCTCACAGATGGTTCAAATGTTGGACATTATCAGTGATTATTTACAGTTGAAACATTTTACTTTCCAGGTTAGTTACTTTTTTTCCTAGTAACTTCCTCCCTGTTCGTACATAAATACTGTTTGTATCACTGGTTGACATATTTTATATAAATGTAATTTTGTAAATAATTTTTCAAATATCCTAAGCATAATGAGGAGACATGTATTTAATTTGGCATCTTTGTCTCTACTGTTTTTAATTGTGTATTTGGTTTTAAAGTTTATAATGAAATTGTGGCTAATCTTTTAAGAATGAACTTCAGCTAGTAAACACCTGCAAGTCCAAAGGAGATGGTTCTTCTCATTTTATCTGAGTTACTCCTTCTAAACATTCTACAGTATTAACTACCTCATTCTTCACTCCTGATAATAAAAAAAAAAGATTCACAAACAATTGGATGTTTATGCATCTTTTCTATTTCATGCCACATTCTTTTTATCATAGGTGATAAACCAGGTGCATACAGAATAACACAATAAACCAAACCATCAACATATATCTAATTTAAAACATTGAAAATGTAGCTTACAACAGTAATTTGTGAAAATGTGCTAATTGATACATTTCTATGCTTTCATTATGTTTTTATAGGTGGTATACATTTAAATTTAAATATTCTAGAATATTCATTTTTTGAAGATAACTAGTTTGCTTGGTGACAATTAGTTTTTGAGACAAAATACATATATGAAAGTAAATATGTTTTATTTCAATTTTAAAAGAGTACTTACTGTAATATTAAGTAATAAATAATGAAGCATTTACAAGCAACAAACAAATTAGTTTTGGGTATTAGAAAAACAAAAAAAGTGAAACAGTCAACTTGTCCAAAGTAGCAAAAGACAAAGAATAAAAGTGACTGCACTGCAAACATTTTGTAGGAGTATATCATTAAATATTTGTTAAATTTTAGTCTAGAATTCATTGGATATTAAATCAGAATTGCAGGTCCCCAGTTATATTTTTAAGGATTCATATAGTTATGGTAAGTAATCAAAAGGCATAGTAGCAAATGAAATCTAAAGTACTTACCAAATGAAATGACTTAAGCATCATGATAAAGAGACTTTTAAATTCCAGATTTCATTGTTAAGAGCTGCTGCTAGTATAGTTTTGAAGCTTGCAGATGAAATAGCTTTTCTCAAATGTGCTTAAGAGTCTGTTCTGTTCAAAAAAGGTCCTTGAAAAAAGCTACTTGATTCTTGAAAATACCAAAATATAGGAATTGTGGCATATGTATGTAGATTAAAACTACAAATCAACCCATTAAATAGAATAGATAATTATATATGTAGTTCTTATGTTTCACTTCTGATTAGAATTCATTGTCTTGTCATGTATGTACCCTTACTGTTAGTGATATGTTCGCCATATTCTTTTTGTTGGTACTGACTCTAAATCACAAAATAATTCTTTTAATTGGTAAACTTTTGAAAGGACATTTTTTTTTGGCTAGAATATCCCAGTATGGGGGACTATCAGCAATGAAAGTTTTAGTTTATGTTTTGTTACTAAAGGTCATATTTAGTATTAAAATCAAGTTAAAGGTAACTTATCAGATTTTCAAAAGAAATAGGTTATTCGATAAAAGTTTCTAGTTGCCTAATGTGGTTAGATGAGAAAGGTCAATATTTAATGATCCACAGAGATGTAAATAATACACTTGCTCTAATTAAATGGGGTCATCCGTAATTTTGTTTTTGATAATTCACAAAGTTCTAAGAACTTCATCTTAAAATAAAAATTACAAAAATATGTACTTAAGCTTAGATGAAGGTAAAATAGTTTTTACACCAAATTTGAAAACATAAACATTTTTTTAACATTGAAAATAGTACTAATACTCTGCTACTATAAAGTTCATACTATTTTTTTAATTGGCTAAGAATAAAAGTATATCTATCAGAAAAAAACATTCAGTAGTCTTAGAGCATAGAACTGTTCATTTTTATAGTACATGTTACAAGATACTGTACATCGAATATTGTAGTTAGTTAAGGACATACTGCTTAAATAGTGTTGAACTAGGGACTGAACTTATGACAGAGGAAAGCCTTGTGAAAAAATTGATAAATCCTGAGTTTGGAAAAGTGACTACATATCTTTTCATTTTTATTAGAACTTTAAGAATTGGTGAATGCACTGTTTTAGTAATTAATACTATCACACATTATCTTAAAAGTTTCCAGATATTTTCTTGATAAATAGTAGAGTTATTTTCTTAAAATTGGGTTGTTTTTTTACTATACAAGTAGACAGTATATATGTAAGCTTTTGGCTATTGAACTTAGTCAGTAATATATAATTGAATGACATATACAACTGTGTACAATAGTTTGGTAACTTTGCATAATGTAGCATGGTTTAAATGACATATACAACCGTGTACAATAGTTTGGTAACTTTGTATAATGTAGCATGGTTTAAATGACATATACAACCGTGTACAATAGTTTGGTAACTTTGTATAATGTAGCATGGTTTAAATGACATATACAACCGTGTACAATAGTTTGGTAACTTTGTATAATGTAGCATGGTTTAAATGACATATACAACCGTGTACAATAGTTTGGTAACTTTGTATAATGTAGCATGGTTTAAATGACATATACAACCGTGTACAATAGTTTGGTAACTTTGTATAATGTAGCATGGTTTAAATGACATATACAACCGTGTACAATAGTTTGGTAACTTTGTATAATGTAGCATGGTTTAAATAACATATACAACCGTGTACAATAGTTTGGTAACTTTGTATAATGTAGCATGGTATTATTTGACTGTATATATGAAGTTAAATGTATATGAAATGGGAAATATTTTTTCGTCTTACTTTAATATCTGTAGAGGCTAGATGGATCTATTCGAGGAGAACAAAGAAGACAAGCACTGGACCATTTCAATGCTGAAGATTCACAGGTAATTTTGCCTTCCCTTTGCTTATTTTCTTTTTTCCATTTCCATTACTTGACAAATGTGAACCTTAAAAAAACTGAACACAAAAACAGTCGTTATTATGTGGTCTATATTTGTTAAAACACTAGTAATAATTCCTAGTAAAATCATTGAATTATTTAATTGTTCAACATTCCTCCAGGATTTTTGTTTCATCCTGTCAACAAGGGCTGGTGGACTTGGCATCAACTTGGCAACAGCTGATACTGTTATCATATTTGACAGTGATTGGAACCCCCAGAATGATCTTCAAGCCCAAGCTAGGGCCCACAGAATTGGACAGAAGAAACAGGTGATAGAGACATTTCAAAGCATACTATACATACTAGGTTTTTCACTTGTATAATGCGTGACACATCTGTTGTATCACGGTATGTGTCATTAATGTAAATACTGTATGTGTGTGGTGTAGATTCTAAATTCTTTGTAATGTAACTTTGATAAAAAAAACAAGAACTTAACTGCATCTAATATACTTACTTAGAATATCATAAGGATTATCCAAAAGTTAATTATTGTAAAGGGGTTGGTAGAGCTCTGGATTTCAGATTTAGTATGCCAGATTCAAATCTGTGTGATGCCACTAAATATTCCCTACACTTTATGTTATGGGTGCATTATGAAAGTGACAGTCAATCCCTTAGCATGAGTGGTGGTTGATATGGTGTCAGTGACTGGCTGCCTTTCCTCTGGTCAGTAGTTCAAAGTTAGAGATGATGGCAGATAACCTAAGTGGCTTTTCTATAAATACAAATACAGTTATTGTAAAAATAGTGGTCAAAGTTCCACAGTTTTCCTCAGTACTTAGACTTTAAACATAGGATATATTTATGTAGGAGAAGTTTATATTAAAGGATAGAAAAATATATTTTTATTTCTATGTAGGTGAATATTTACAGGCTTGTGACCAAGGGAAGTGTTGAGGAAGATATCATTGAGAGAGCCAAAAGAAAGATGGTACTGGACCACTTAGTAATACAAAGAATGGATACCACTGGCAGGACGGTCTTGTCTCGAAGTGCAAAACCTACCAAGTGAGCATTTTGACATCTAGATAGATATTGAATGTGAAAATTTTGAAAGGGATATTGTCTCATGCAGCAATAGGATGTATTAATTTTAACTTCCTATGATTATTTGTTCTTACTCTATCTATGCACTTCTGATATTTCAAAATAATGTTTTATTGTTCAACAAAATCTCTCACTTATTAGATCTCAAAAAGAAAGTTCTTTACATGGCTACATACTAATATCCATTCTAGTTTATCCAATTCTCTTCAATAAAAAATATTGGACATTCTGTTTGTTCAGCATACTACAGATTTCCCAAAGGCATGAAGTATGAAAGTTTGTCAGCCTTGTCATATTCTTCTCTATCATCTAATATTACTCTATCAGAGTAATACAGGAGGGCAGATTTAATGTTGATGTCGATTGTGTCGTAATTTTTGTTTTTGGTAATTTGATTAATGCACAGTAGGCCTAGAGTGTGAAAAGGACATTCATTTTAGGTAAAGAAGTAAATATGATGGTATAGATCATTTAAGTTTCATATCTATAGATTTATGTGAAACAATACAAAAACATATGTATTGGCTATAAACAACAAATATCAAATGTTAACAACTAATTGAATACCTTTATCTTAATGAGTCTGCTTTTTTATTTCTTATACAGTGAATCACGTTTTTCTAATGTGTGTAATGTATGCTTTCAGAGATGAATATTAATGCCATTCTGTAATAAGCCAAAATGGCAAATGAACAAAATATTACTTATCTTTTATTATTTCCTTTTACAATTACTTAAAAGAATAACAATTAATTTATCATAATGAGTCCTTTTCACATACTGAATGTTCTTTTCACATTCTAGGCCCACCCTGATTAATGTGTGTTGTTCCCTTTTAGATTCTATTAATAATATCCTTTGCTATTCTATTATCTTTGCTAACTTTACTGTGATAATAACTGCAATTACATCACCTTATTGTTCAATGAAACGTCTGAACTGTCATTAGATGTATTTTGTGTGCACTAACTTTTCTTACTACATCTTTACCAGTGGGCCACATATTGATAATTCTGATAAATTTTAATAAATTGGAACCTAATTTGTACTACTTAGTTTAAAGTAAATTGATGTATATATTGCTGTTGTATATTGATAGTGATTAATTACTTTTTACAAATAGTAAGATTGAAATATTAGGTCATTAAGAAATTAATGTCATATTTTGGAACACTTTCATTAACCACCCCCCAAAAAACGTATATCACGTATAATAGTTAAACAAACCACCTAAACATCATGTTAGTCTAGCCTATACAATATGTAAAGTTTAGTATACTCTAATCCTTTACAGTGATGGCACACGACAACACGCACATTTGGCATGTAATGCTGTTTGAATAGAAGAAGGGTAACAATGCCTCTGTAGCCACAAAGAATATCAAATTAAGTTTATGGAAATGTATTGAACGTTTATAAGTGTCAACAATGGTTCATCAAATTTCATTCAAGTGACTTTAGCCTTAAAAACTGTGATGGCAGGGGCCAATATGTTGGAATTGATATTGATGCTCTGAAGACGCTCGTTGAGTCTAACCCAAGGCAACACACTT